GGGGGGGGGGGACATCGCAAACATTTTTCCGGACATACAAAAAATTTTCCAAACATATCGTAATTTTCGCGAACGTATAAAAAAAATTCCGTACATATCATAATTTTTCCGAAAATACAAAAAATGTTCCCGACATATCTTAATTTTTACGAAAATACAAAAAAAATGCTTCCACAGAAATAGTTATTTTTCCCAATTCACTGTCTTATGCCCTGAAAATTACCTGAATTTACCTAAAAATCTACTGGAAATCTACCTGAATTTACCTAAAAAATCTACTGGAAATCTACCTGAAATTGCTCATGACCAATTATTAGGGGGGTGTTACACCCCCCACACACACACCCCGGTCGCTACGGCCCTGACTATACTATTATTGGCGTAAATCATTGACATTGAATATAACCTCATGTTACCTCCTGCCAAAACATTGTTTTAAAGTCTCGCTCCCGGCAAACACAATATTAACGGCCTATACTGTAGCTGTAATGTCAATTTTTATATAATTATTTTTTATTATTTATTTAAATTATGATGCTGGTGATGTTACTGTGAGTGTACATCCACACCGGGCAAGCTTGAAAAATATGCCTGCCCACGGTGGGAATCGAACCTACGACCTTTGGAATACTAGCCCAATGCTCTGCCTACTGAGTACATTACACCAACACAGAGAAAATCATTATTTAAATTATTTTGTATTTGTACTTGCATGTAGATTCGTTATTGAAGGACCAATTCCGTTCTTGTTCTTTGCTCCGATACGGTCGCTCCGTATTTTTGCTTTCTACCTACAGGTATGTTATATTCATTCAATTTGTATATATGCTATAAACCGAGAACGGGGGAGAGACGTACAGGAAGGAGGTTAGGGGCTTGAGTTTGTAGTTATATAGCATAGCCCTGGAATTATATATATATAATCCCCTGCATTTTACAGTAATCAGTGGCGCCGCCAGCTCGATAATTGGGGGGGGGGGGCGAATATTCATATATTTGTGTTCACAGACCATAACAACAATCGATTTCAAAAGAAGTTAATAATGCAGAACACGAAGATATGAATATTCGCCCCCCCCCCCAATTATCGAGCTGGCGGCGCCACTGACAGTAATCCTGGCGTATTTCCCCTGAAGTTGCAATTTGGACTATGACTGCGCATGCATATTACTATCCCACTTTTTTCGGAATGCAAAATTCTCTGTTGTCACTGGTCGCGCGCGTTTTGTTTTTGTAAAGACACATATTCTTTACTGCGCATGCGGTAACTCGTTTTCCACACGTGAATCAATATGGCGGAAAACATATTAACAGAAATTGATGTTTGTAATCTGAAACCCCGTGCAGACGAGCACATTTTCCGTGACACGTTTTATTTACTCATGTGTGTACGGCACAAGATTGATCATTTTCCTTGCTGAGGAGCCTTGTTCCAAAGCTTATCACTCCAGCTATTGGACAAGGAAAGTTTGTTCGTGTGTACCAGGTTTGGAAATTCCCTGAAAGGTGAGATCGTTGCTTATAGCAGAGGTGGGAAACGGTAGCTGCTGAAGTGAAGTGAAGTGAGGTGAGTGATTTGATTTGATAAAACACATATTTTCGTGGCTACAATTAAAAAGTGACACAGCGATACAACGATACAGGAATTGGAACCGTGTTTAATGCCAATACCAGAGATATCTGGGAAATATATACCTCAAAAGGGAAAAATAAAGGGATTTGACCATGTATGTATGTATGTAAACTTTATTTAAAGACGTTAGCCTCGTCAACGATTTGTTGATTTTTACGAGGGACGTCTGTTACTATTAAAAATTACAAATATGATATAGAAAAGAATAAAGAATTATATACAACTATTTACAATAGAAGAATTAAGTTCCAAACGGTGTGACCCATATTTCTAAAGCATGCATATACAGTATATTAGAAGATGTTAGCGTGAATCTTTCAGGCAGTTTTTAAAAGAATAAATTGATTGGGCTAGCTTCGCGTCAGAAGGAAGACTATTCCACAATTTAGCTCCGCTATACTTAAAGCTTTTTTTAGAAATTCTCGTTTTGGCTTAGCAAGCGTAAGGTCAGTATAAGTATTGCGAAGATTATAACTGGTTTGAACAAGGTCCCTTCTCGTTAGAGCATCCTTCAAGTTCGGCCCAGCGCAATCATTCAGGACTTTATACATTAATGTGGATTTAGTTGTACGTTGTCTTATCTCTAAATTTTCCCAAGCAAGGGATCGAAGAACATCAGCAGACCTTATTTCATAGCTGGCGCCGGTTATAATTCTCGCTGCACGGTTTTGGAACTTTTGAAGCTTATCTTTCAGCTGTTGGTTACAGACGTCCCATAATGGACTACAATAATCAAAATACGGTTCTATCAAAGCTCTGTAAATGGTATGCAGGGTATTTATAGGAACATATGGCTTAATTCGTTGCATTGCTCCTATTCCGGCCCCAACTTTCTTACAAATCATTTCAACATGCTCATGCCAATTAAGGTTTTCATCAAGTTTAACCCCAAGGCATGTGTATGAATGAGCAAGAGTTATGAATTGGTTATTCATCATTGGTTATTCACCATATGATTATTGCAGCGGTTAGCTCGTTTCATTTACATCTTGTCTTACTTAAATGTTTAAATTAGCTATGACTATATATGACTGTTATCAAACAAGACGCTCAATGGAGCGTTAAGTCGCTCGGCGAACTATGGAAATGTGGAAATTTAAGAAATCCCTGCTGTACTTGTACAAGCAGCATACCACTAAAGAAGAGCGCGTTTGTTTCTTTGAAAATACTGTATTGATTTTGGAAGTTTGCCTCAAAATATTATGTTTTTAACGGGGAAATCTTCTAGGTGTGAAGTGTGCATATTACTTTTCTTAGAGTTACAGCGGGCAACGACTGACTTTGTATTCGCAGATCGCAAGCACATATCAAATGACAGTATGGACATTGTGACCAAAAAATATGATTCCACCGCAATTAACGTAGTGTGAATGGCAAATGCGTTTTAGAACATAACACAACATAAATATATCATGTAACGTCTATGTTTGGTAACTTTGGTTTTAGTTGACTGTGTTTTCTAATAGCAAACAAAGCCAAACACATGCACGATCAGTATCAGTCAACAATTGTCAGATCAATGATCAGATCAATATCAATTTAAATTCCATTGCAACTTGATACGATGTTTATTTAATATTGTCGCGCAAATCTAACTACTAGTAGTATTAGCACCATAGTTTCTTACAATTGTTCCTGTGCATCGCTGTCGTATGTCCTTTTGACCGCTTATCAGAATTTATTTGCATACTGTAAAAGAACGGTTCACTTTGTTTATAGAAAAAATTGTATCCAAGGTTGTAGCTTTTTGTAATTTTTTGTAAGATTTTGGTAACTTCTTTCTAGTTGATGAATCCCAGCCTCATAGGTGAGGCAAAGTAGTGGCCTACGTGCTGGCCGCGGGCGCTCGTTGACGTTCCTTGTAGTCGCTTCTGCTTCTTCGTCGTCATTGAGTTGCCAACGGTTTTCATCAACTGTTCTGTTGCTCAAAGCTTTTCTAGTTGTTGGTGGATCTGTCTGTGGCGTTTTCCGTGTCCGTTGATTATTGAAGGTGGGATCGACGCCAAAATGCCTTTTCAATCGCCGGTGATTAATCGTTTCCTTTCTTCGTCTCTGTCCATCCATCTGTATCGCGTACGTTGTGTCTCCTTTCCTCGCTTTCCCTGTAAATGGACCCCTCCAACGATGTCCAACCAGTTTCTTCGCTAGTCCCTATTTTTAACCTTGCACGTTTTCCACACCTTCTCTCCTATCTTAAAAGGAGTGTATTTCACATTTTTGCTCTCGGGCTGTTTTCTATCTTCTTGTTCTCGCAGGATGCGTGAACGAACTTTCGAAGGCGGATTCTTCAGATACTTAAGACGAGCAGACATTTATTGCATTCTTCTCTTCTTACCCGAATTGTTACCGGTCGTTGTCTCATCTCTAATTACGTCTCCTGGGTTCCGCGCTTCAAATCCAAAAGCCACATAAAATGGTGTTTCTTTGGTGGTTTTATTAGCCACTGTTCTCATAGCTGATGGTGCAGCAGGCAACTTCAGGCCCCAGTCTGTAGATTCTACTTCCATGGCTAAACGTTCTGCCAGATTTCTCTCTGCCTGGCCGTTTCCTTGGGGATTTGCCGGTGAACTTCTAGTTCGCTGAATCTCAAGACGTTTGCACAATTCACGCATCAGGCTGGCCTCGAAATTCTTGCCTTCATCAGCGTGGAAACCCTCAGGAACACCATACCAGCATACAATCTGTCGATAAACTGCTTCTGCTGTGATCTGTGCTGAATGATCCTGTACAGCAAATACCTCTTCCTCTCGGAATCGTAGGAAATAGTCCTGCAACAAGTCCGTGTGCCACCACCGGAATGGTCGGGTGGGAACCGGAAGTTGTCTTGTGGGCTGACGATCAGGAACTGTCGGACATTTCCGTCGGTTTCGCACGGATTACACCAATCCCTTACATCTCTTTGCCAAAGTAGCAATGCCAATTAAACCGATTAAAAATATCGTGATTTGACAGCTTCTTTTGTATTCGTTAACCCAAATGTCCCTTGTCATCATGTAGGACCTTAAGAACTCTCTCTGCTGTACCAACCGGAAGAAAGGCTCACATGATGTTTAATATCTTTAGGATTGGCTTTTGTCTCCACTCATCGATGCATTGTCCGAATATCCTCATTTGACAGTTGAATGAGTCAGACTCGGTCACCAATCCTTCCAACGTTATAGCACCATTAGCGGATCTTGATAACGAGTCAGCCACCAGCATGAATCTTCTTGGCCGGTTTTGAATTTGGAAATCAAAGTTACCCAATGCCACCCGCCACCGAGGCAATTTTGCCCCGTGGTTCCTTTAGTTGCATGAGGTATGTCAACGGCTTGTGATCAGTGATTACTTTAAAGTGGAAACATTTCAAGTGCATCGAAAACTTCTCTAATGCCCACACGATTCCAAGACTCGAGATGCATACTCAATGACTTGTCTTCCTTGGCTCAGTCTTTTCCACCACAAAGGGTTGCGAGAAATCGGGATACGTGAGTATAGGCGATGCTGCCAAGTGCATGCCCATGCGGTGTTTTGGAGTGCCTTTCCACACTCACAAGTCCAATAGAAAACCAAATGTTTCTGAGTCATGGCATTAAGGGGATTCTTTTCTCTTTCTAACAAGGCCAAGGGAGCATATATATACTTATGCAAGTGGTATTTGACAAGTTAAGGATTATTCGTATAAAAAGCACCATGACTGTTCATATCAATTAACACACTTGCATGCCATATAACTAGCAAAGTATAACTAAAAGCCACGTTTTAACACTTTTTTTCGCAATACGCACCATTTCTTGGACCTCTTTACCTTTCATAGGTCCACGTTCGTTATACAGGGTGCAATTGTTAATTATTGAATGAGATCTGCGCGATATGAAGAGGCAGGCCAGAAGTTTGTGTTATCAAGCGAAGCCGAAGGCTGATATGTTTTCCAGTTTTTGGAGAAGGAAAATTTGTTAGTGTGTGCGGACGCCAAGAACTATTGCTGTGGTTTTGGCAAATAAGTCTTGGTAAGAAGTTGTTGAAATACTGAAATAGGGATAGTACACGTCTGTTGCAGTTTTGCAACAAGCTGTGCGAGGACACGGGAGGCGGGCGTGGTGTGTGGCGGCGTTGCACGCCCTAAAACTTGGCCTAACTGAAAATTGCTTTGGCGCTTCTCCGGCGTGGGATGTACAGGGAATTCACCCTGCGTAGACTCGAGCCAACAGTTATTAATAAAAACTATTGAAGTTATAAATGAAATGAATTAAAATATTCTGCATGGTGAAATGTCATTTATGAACTACCCGTTCAAAATTAGTTTATTGCTTTTTTGAATTTTGTTGCTTTAACTTTTTGCGTTCAAAACATACACTGCTTTCCTTTTCGTGCAATGTAACTGTAAAATTACCTTGCTTAGTTAAGAAAAAAACTTAAATGATTACTGAAATTATTATACATTGTAGTTGGTAAAAGCAATTTGATTGGCTAAGAGCTTACAGTTAAATAACGCAATCTACAAAAATTTCAGTTATCTGCTAGCAGATAACTGAGTTATCTGCAAATGAGCCTGCGATGATTAGCAAGCAGTATCTAGTTAACACAAACAAATCTACAATAGAACAATTATTGAATTCGGTTTTTGCGATATGCAAAATTATCAAGGTCTTGGTAAGCGTTATCAGACCTTGATAATTCTGCATATCACAAAAACCTCATACAATAATTGTTACTTATTCACTAATTTGAACAATACTTAACAATTATCTGATGAGGTTTTTGTGATATGCAGAATTATCAAGGTCGAGGTAAGCGTTATCAGCCGAAGGCGAGGCTGATAACGCTCACAGAGACCTTGATAACGCTGACCGAGACCTTGACACGCTTCTCTAATATTCTCCCAACATTCCCCGCGTGCATTATCACACCATAAACGCACGAGACGAGGTTTTCTATTTCTTAACTAAAGCTACGTTTACACTTGTACTGTACAGCTTTTTGTATAGCGACGTGAAAAACACCTATATATACGTACCTTTTAGGAACGCTACTTTCAGAGGAATCATTGAAACGGAGAGATTTTGTTTTGCTCAACTTCTGAAAGTTGTACATTCCGTATCCCGGGATTTGTCTAGATCAAAATTTTAGTTGCTGCGGAGCGAGCGAGCCTGAAGCGAGCGAGCGTAGCAGCAACCTAATATATGCAGAGAGGGGGTTTTGAACTAAATTTTATTAAGCGCATGGAATTGTGGTCGTGCGCGCTTTCTATGCGCAGAACACAAATTTTAAACTCGCTCGAGTCTTCGAATTTTTATCGAATTTCTAAAG